TTGCCCTTCGCTGCACGGTACATGACTATGATTCAGGTTGTGCTAGCTCGTCCGTTGTCCGTTTGTTCTCGGCAGTCTGTTGCAGCAGCCGCAGCTGCAGGTCGGTCTACTATGCCATTGTGGAAGCATCCCGTCCCCATATATCCCCAGCAATCGCAGCAGACTCTGGAGCAACAAGCTCCGCCCACCCCTCCCCTCCCCCCCTCCCTCCCTCCCTCCTTGCACATCCGAAGCACACCAGACCCAACGAAATAAATGACATCGACCAAGCTACGGTAGCTCCTTTCTTCTCTGCGCGTACGACCGGACTTCAATGCTGGTTAATGCTGGGGTTTGGCCCAATTTTTTGCCCTCTACGATCTTGTCATCCCCTCTCCTACCCATCTACCGTACAGACATGCGCGCCTACCTCCTCGAAATTAACCTCCTAATCACCTCCCTCGGACAGTCTCCCCATGCTCTATGCCCGGGGCTCCTTGTCATTCACGACCAATTTACTGGAACGGCATCTCAGGAGACGCTATCGAGCTGCCGCTGGCCCGCTGGAGTTCAGAAGGCTCATAGATCCACACAGTCGCTTGGTTGGCTGGGCCAGAATTTGTAGCGTTGGTCGAGTTGGGTAAAGTGCCGTGGCTGCTTAGATCTCGTTAGACTAGAGTTTACAACTAGCTTGCATGAATTGCGTGGTAAAGTGCTGGTTTCAGGTCTAGCCTTAGGCCCGGCAAGAATCCGTGGTCGCATATGAGGATAAAACTCTAGACAAAGCGGAGCAAATGCGAGTTTCGATATATTACTTTTCCTTCTGACTTGTGCAGCAGGAGGAGGAGGAGGAGGAGCTTTCTAAACTGTTTAGTTAATGCTAGCACCACGGTAGCTACACACAGTTTCGTTTCAGCTCCTTGTAGCTGGGCAAAAGCATGATGAAATAGTCTGTAGATCAGATTACAACATCGTAGAGTCGACGGGGTGAAATTCATTGGAAGTCACCGCGCAGGCCTCATATCATTGGCCGCACTGTCGATGACGAGTTCATGCAACGCCATACGAGCCTAGCTAATCTCTTAGGCTAGTACTGTGGATTCTGAGTGTCCGATCATGAAGGCCGGCCTGGTCAGTACACACTGATCATAAGCCAAAGCTTTCTGAAGATTCGAATTTGTATCGATTTCTGGGTTTAGGCTTCAGATGCACGTACGCTGTACTCCTTAGCAAAGGCTAGTGGTGGTGGGAGGGTGGAAGTGCAAGGAAGTTAAGGTCAAGAGAAGGCAGCTCAATTCGGAGAGTGGGCCGTGATGCAACGTGCGCCGAGCAATCTCGAGCATGGATCCATAAGATCGTCGATTTTCACCGTACTCCTCCAACTGATTATCCTCCGGACGGATCGTATCATATCAAACACAAGTCACAAGGACTCGCCGCGGGCTGAGCTCCGGGACTAGCACACGCGTACCTGTACATGTTACAGAGCCTGTCTCGTACTCGTACACTCACTCTCTCATTCTTACTCTTACTCTTCTTCACCCGGCGGTACAGTACAATGGCCAAACACGACAAGAGCCGAGCAAAAGCTCGTCTCGAGAAACCAATGACAGATTTTCACCCTGGGCTGGTGGAAGAGAAGACGACATCTGTTTTCTTCAGCAGCATAGCATGCCATGCCATGGCATGTGATTTAGCACACTGTATGGTATGATGGTTCAGTTTCATCTCAATCTGCATTTGTGGCTCTACCTTGAGATGCGCAAGGAATAGTGAAGTGGTTCATCTGGACTCTGAAGCAGCGGGGCTCTGTTCCTGGAAATTTGACTGATTCATACATTCCTCGAACGAGAACTAGTCGTTCCACTGGTCTTTTGACCGACTGCTGCAGCTGGTGGATTGAATGTAGCGGTCGGGGAAGGGGGAGTTGCTCAAATGACACAGACGAAGACGAGAGGGGTTTTGATCGACTGGCCAAAAAGTCCGTGTTCAAATGTGTACCAAAGACATTCCTTTTCGTGTACACGTCGAACCGAGAGAGACTTGCAAGTCCAACAGATCAGATCAGACCTACTGCAGACGTCGCATGTAATAGCGGTTTTCGTGCCATGAGGAGACTCACTGACAGACAGACAGACAGACAGACAGCTCCAAAGTGAACGAACAGCAACCCACCCGTACTCTTTGAAGTTGAGGATGCACCACTACTTGCAATCGGTGGAGGGTTTAATTGTTGCGCCTCGTACTCCAGTATTTCCCCCAAGATTTTGTCCATTCTCCTCCGTCCTGCTACTGGTCTGAACTCGAATCTCTTCACTCATCCTTATTCGAGCTCGTATATCCTTCCTTACGTTGCCAAACTAGACGTGCGCAAATGGTCACTCCTACATTCATCCTTAATGACCAGCGCTTTCCATGCAGCTCGCATTGACTGCGTGCCTGTACCAACACGGCGTATGTATCCTCACAGGCATGATGTATGACTTCACCCAAGAAGGATAGAACTAATTATTAGCAGATCCTTGGTCTAAAACCTCCATGCAAATCCATAGAACAACGCCACTCCTCTCTCTCTCTCTCTCTCTCTATCTCTTGCTCGTGAAATCTCTGGCCTTGGGGATCAAGGTGCGTCATTAGGTTAGAGACACTTTTAGCTTTACTTGTTGTCAAATCTTTCTTGTCTTATGTCACTCTCCTTTATTCTACTCGAATTTTCTTTCTTTCCAGCCAGAATATCACAAGACTGCAGCTTCCCATGTATTTCTGATGGATGGTGTTCAAGTCCCCTGGGAGCTTGAATAGACGACCGGATCTGGCCGTCTCTGGTCTCTGGTCTCTGGTCTCTGGACATTAGGAGACTCTGCCCATAACATGATATGTAGTTGACAATGCTCACGGAGCTGGAATATAATCATGACTGGACTTGGAGTTTGGCCAGCAAATATGGGAGGGAGAGGGAAAGGTGCGATCGAACTTTTAGGACTTGAGATAAACGAATATATACAGAGCTTCCAAAAGCTTGGCGAGATTGACCGAGCGTCCGATCGCGGCGCTGAGGCACAGAAAGGGAGAGAGAATGATTCGAAGGAGATTGGACTAGGCAACAGTGAGCGGGAAGAAAACAGAGATAATGTCATGTATTATGAAGATTCCAAAACGACCGCAGCGCGATGCAGCAACTACTTGAGCTGTAGCGCCGGCATGGTTAGTTCGTGAGAGCAAGTCAACCACAGGCTTGAAGACCGAACGAAGCGACCAGCAGCAGTGAGCGCGTACAGTGCTCGGGGCATGCATTTTCCAGCTTATCGATTCGAGGACACCGATCGGACACCCCCACCCCGTGGCTCCTACGTCTTATCGTCTTGTTCGCTTCAGTGCAAACAAGAAAATTCTCGTGCTTTTGCTGTGGACATTCCCAAGTTTCGACAGATTTTATTTGCGATCGCCCATCATAGGGGCATATGTTTCTACACAGTGCAGCAGCATCGCATATAAAACAGCCGATTTAATCTAGATCGACCAGAGATTCTGGAGTGACATCTGGACCAATTATGGCGATCCGTCTCAGGTCCATGTATATCTAGCGCGCAGGGAATGAGGGAGGGGGGGAGGGAGGAGGGGAGGGGAGGCGAGGGGAGGATCAGGAGGGCGGGCCCGGTGCGAAGCGCTGGTCAGACATAGTATACAACAAATGAACATTCAATCTCAGACACTGAGCATCGGTATGGAACAGTCGTGACTCATCATGATACACACAAGCTCGACGAGCCTGGAGACATGAAGCCGGGACTCGGATAACGAATATCTACTCGTCCCTCGCGGTGCTGCCATGTGATTATTTACATCGGGGACCACTGTAATTAAAAGACGGAAAGCAGCAGCAGCAGCAGCAGCTGCTGCTCTTGGCCTTGGGTATTTCCGATCCACTGGGTTCGAACCTCCTCGGGCTGATCAGCATCGTCATCATGCCCGCTCAGGCCCTCGGCGCCGGCCTTTCGATCGCTCCATGTCGTCCACCGAATTTTTTAAGCCTCTGTCTGGCGTGCTGCGTATATATAGACGGGCCGGACTCGAAACTCGAATTGCACGCTTCTGGTATGGCACTACTGCAGCTCCTGCACTGTGCCTGCTCTGGATCCGTCGAACGTGTCCATGAATTGCGAAGCCAGTCGGCCAGCCAGCCAGCCAGCCAGCATGGGCTCTTGCACCGGCTCGAGCCTTGAAGCCTCCTCGACGAATCTGGATCTTCAAATTTCCAGCGATTGCTCCTCCACTGACCACCGCTGCGGTCGACGTAGGCCTGGGACATGTCTCAGCAACAAGGTCCGGGGTTCACCAGAGATCACATGTCACAATCATGCCGAATTCCGTTACGGGATTTGGAGGACTGGGGGCCTCGTAAGAGCAGCACACATTGAACGTGGCCGCGATGAGGCTCACGTTGTGCAGGCCTCGTGAAGGCAGGCGGGAACGAACTGGGATCTGATTCTGGGGAATTCAGGTGATAGAATCCTGGAGGTGCGACCAATTGCGAGGCCAAGCCACTCGCCGAACGGTGTTGCTGATAAGACCTCTGGCAATTTCCGTTGGGCTGCTGCGCAGTCTTCGAGGGCATGCATCCTAAATTTAGTTTGAGTTCAAGAGATGGTGGCGAGATGTGGCATCGGATTCCTGTCTTCGTGTGGGACAAGACCTGCACATTTGTCGAGCGGAGCCGGATGCTCAGAATTTGCAAAATTTAGATGGTACTTGTTGCCACGCAGAATTGTCGAAGGCGCATCGAGTCATAACAGCCACTCCACCGGAGCAGCATTTTCAGCCAAAAGTGCATCGTTTGTCCTCAGCGCTCGACGAGCCCGTCGCGCTGCTCGCCCTCGGGCGTCTCGAAGATCGACATTCGGATAATGACCGAGTCACGAGTCCTGCACCACAATTGACATTGAATCGCCTTGCGCATCGAGCTGACGAACGAATGGCTCAACTGACCGACATGACTGACGAACGAATGAACACGAATGAACCTAAGTCAATTTATTTTGTATCCAAAATTTGGGCTTTGGATCACAAGCATGTACACTGTGAGAGGATTCGAAAGCCTAACTAACTAACTAACTAGCCTAAGCTGATGCTGTTGACACGGCCTCGGAGCTGCCGATGAAGCGTCCTAACTCTAGCAAAAATGGGGCCGTCCACAGGTTCGAGGGATTCATGTTGAAGCCATGAATTGCATCGTCGTACATGAGCAGACGAATATTGGTGCACGATCTTTGCTGCGTGTCGTAATACAGCTTCTCCCAATCCTGCAAAGGATCTCTGCCGCCTATCACCAGAAGCGTATCGGGAAGAGCCACTTTGAGCTCCACCATCTCTTCCAGCTTGGGAAATACATGGCACGCCGGGTGACTCCTCTGTGCATCCACGGGAAGGGCCAGCTTCCAGAACAAATCGATCGCTCTCAACGACAACGAACTCTCGAACGCCCAATACAATTCCGACGGCGTCCGAGTCGCCCCTCCGAACCCTGGCTGTACCAAAATTTGCCCTCGCACTCGCAGGGGTCTGAGATCCTCCGACAGAGCTCTCACACTCAGATGATGCACCAGATTGCCTCCCGCACTATCGCCCATGTAGTAACACCGGTCGAAGTCGGCGTGAGATCTCAACCACGGCTCCGATGATTTCGCATCCCCTCCCAGATTCAATTGCAAAGCTTCGGGCCGAGAATCAGCAGCAGAGCTGCCAATTTCCTCGAGCTCGCGCTGAAGCCGAGCTTGCGACCTGAGGAAGTTGAGAGCTGTGAATGCATCTTCGTATTGCGTCGGAATGCGGTAGTCCGGGGCCTTGCGATAGTTGACGGAGACGAGGAGCGAGTCGGTGGATCTGCACACGGATTCGCAGTAGTCGTGAATGAGGCGAGCGTGCGGGCTCAAGCACACGAAGCCACCTCCGTGGAAGAACAAAATCACGGGCAGCTTCTTTGCGGACGACTTGACGGTTTCCGGGACGTAGATGCGCACCCACAAGTCAATCTCCTCGTCAATTGTCACATCCTTGCAGGCGACCTCGTTCACGAATTCGGAGTTGGGCGCAACCAGTTCAAAGGGAGGCCTGGTGACCGAAAAATCTGGATGCACCACGAAGTTCTTTACGCCATGATACGATTCCGTCAAGTCATGATCAGCCTCGGGAACCAGCCCGGATGAGCTACCGGTTGGCCATGGAGTTTGATCATGGAAGCGCCAGACCGACGAGTGATCATTGGCAATGCCCTCACTCGCCATGAAGCACAGCCAACTAAGTCGCTGCTTCTTCTGCTCGACTTCGAATCTAGTCGGCCGGGTCCACTCTTGCTCCCAGCAGCTTCTTCTTGGCGAGAGAGTGGCAGGCCCAAATGCAGCCACTGACGGAATCTGTGGTGCACTTAATTGCAGCCCAGCGTTGGTGTGAGGAGCATTCGCGCGACTCAGCGCTCGCTGCTGATCATGACATGACAGATACAAAATTCAGTGCAGCAGTGTCGTTTCTGGCTACGGGGACGAGCAGTGCAGGCATACGATTACGAGGCAGTACGAGTAGAAGTCGTTTCTTAATTTAAGTGCCCGACTCTCGCTTCTTTTCTCCTCTCCTCTCCTCTCCTCGCCTCTACTCTCCTCTCCCTCGCCTTCTACTCAGCGAACTGGAATCCCGCAGACTGCATCGAGAATGCAAAGCTAATCAGAACCGTCCTCCACCGAAATGCGCCAGACCCTCCAACAGGCTCGAACGAGCTGGCAAGGAAAGAAGTCTCAGAAGAACCCAAGTCCGACCCGGGCTGTGCAAACTGGAGCTATGTTTCATTGACACATGAAACTCCACGCCTCTCTCTAGCAGGGCCCAGAAGTCTGTCGTCGAGCTTCAGAATGGTTACCGGTCTTAAGCGTTTTGATTCCCGCAGCTCTGGGTTGCTCAATTACCCACGGCAGGGAATCGATATTTGTCTGAGAATGCGGAGAGGAGAGAGGAGAGAGGAGAGTGGACGAGCACCGACCGCATTCAATAGACAGAAGGAGATGCTGAAACCCAGCCAGCCAGCCTAGGTCCACGGGATATCCCGTACTTAAGCTCCACAAATCATTGACTGCAAGACGGGCGAGACGACCTTCGCTCTCACTGCACGCAAATTAAAATCACGGGCCTGAACTTATCTTTCCGCCAAATCTCAGTTGTGCAGTCTCCTGAGCTTTCCTCTGCAGACAGAAATTACAGTCCCCCTGAGATGTTGACGGAGGAGGCACTGAGGAAGAAGGTATGGAGGGAGCTAGCTGGCGGTGTGGCGGGATACCTGGGTCCTCCTAGCGAAAGTCCAGCTACTGGAACTGGAACTCGAACTGGAACAGCGTGAGCTCTAACTCATAAACTGCAAGCGCCGGCCTGAGATGGGCTCGCATTCACTAAAACCAACCACTAAGAATGGCACTCAATGACAGGTCCGAGCGGTCTTGTGGGCAGGGCAGGGCAGCGCAGCGCAGCGCAGACAGGCAGGCAGGCAAGCCAGTGGATTGCACTCATCAGAGTCACTCTTGAGTGCAGAGTTCGAACTCTTATAGGCGTGGTAAAGTGCAGCTCGCGATCGATTTTTTTGTCCGCCGAATCTCCAGGGTAACCTCGACTTGTATTCAGGGTGAATAGAATATGGATACTCTCAGGTCACTGGAAGTTACGTGCTCAATGGACCTCCTACGCCTCCCACCCCCTTCTCCCTTCCTTCCTCCCTCCCTCCCTCCCTCCCTCCCTTACCCTATGGTAGTGGCAGATGCGGCTGCTGCTGCTGCTGCTGCTGTTCCTGCTACATAAGAAGTATGTACTTCCAATCCACGGCTGGAGGAGAGGAAGGTGTTCTCCTGGTGCAGGAATCTACGCTGCGCTCCAGGTGGGAAAAAGTAACGCTTCTCGATCGATCGAGTGTTTGACCTACATACCGGAACCACGTAGTCCGTTTAAATCATATAAGCTGGACTCTCATCACATGTATTCTTGAACGAAGTCTTTTTCTTCCGACACCGATGCATCTTGTCACTGTTTTGTAAACACGCTTCACCAAATATTCTCCCCACGTCAGTGTGCCATCACAAACAAATCCAGTTTGTTTGTTTCATATGCCTGCCTGCCTTTCTATGTTCCTTATCTGCCCCATACTCCCCTTACCCGTCTCGCAACTTACCAGTCAACCTTATTTATGTGCTCCACTGTTTAGCTCGAACCTCGCTCCCCGCCCCTCCCCCTTTCCTTTCCCTCTTCATGAACCTCCATCCCTCCCTTCTTTTCTTTGGACGTCGCGCTGTCTTTTCTCCCTCTCGACTCTTGTAAAGCGCCCACAGTCGACTTTAGCTCCTCTCGTGTCCACCTCCAGGATCTGCTCTGAGTTTACGGAGATGCCCGCTCCTTTGGCTCTTAAGAGCTCGCCACGCCTCCAAAGAAAATCCTCAACCATGGTGGTCCTCGAATGACATGCCCTTCCGGAATCGGGGCTCCGCAAGTCTCCATCTTTTCTGGAAAGTACTCTTACGGGGAATCGTCACATCCACATTTGCCCAGTTGACCTTAAGGAAATGGCTTTACTCCCCCGCGAAAAGCAGGGCATGCTGCTTGAGCTCAAGTTCAGAGGTTTTGTCAAGTCAACCTCATGAAGGGGTATTTCCCTCGAGTTTTAATCTCGCCCCTGCTGCCGGCCTCGGACTTTTACACGGTCAGGTTTTTTTTACCATATACCTTATTGGCAAGGAACCTTGGATGTCTTTCCACAAGAGTCTGGCCGAGGAGATTTTTTGGTTAAAACTCTGTCTGATTTCAGCTGCATTGAGGGACTCAGTTCTCACAGGGAAGGTCCTCGTTTCCATGACTGCGTGGAGCGATGCCTTTTGTTTCAACTTGACTGCTGGATGAAGGAACTACGTTGCTTGGATCGTAGATGAAACCGGTCAAATAAACCAGAAGGTAGACAACATCCCAACTAACCAGTTGACGAAAACTGATGTGTCTTCAGTCCAAACCAGAACGTTGACATCATCCCAGGTAACTACAAACAAACATAACCGAAACTGCTGTTTCTTCGTTCCAAAGCAGAACTTCAACAACATCCCAAGCAACTAAATAACTAAAACTAAATCGGTTTGTTCAGTCTAAACCTTCCGAGTGCCTTCCTCGTTCTTCTCTCGCGGAATCCCGGGTTATAGCTGTGCATGTTGGTCGACTCTTGTGCAGGTTGTTCCTTTTGATAACACTTTTTGTGATGCACATCATTGATCTAGTGACCGGATCTTCTTTTTAAACACTTTGGTGGATGAATAGGGTCACCAGAGTCCGTGGCTTTTCTCTTTCGACCGTGTGGAATCTGAAGAATTATGTCACTGACTCTCGACAATATTCCTGCTTTGAGTGCGTATTTGCAAACAGCTAAGCGCTTTGGTTTCGAAGAAGCTTTCAAACATTTATAGGCCCAGAAGTCAGGAAGCGACGTAGCGTGTGAAGTGTCTACAGCGAGTGTAGTACGGTGGCAAGTATTCATTGCTATCGTTCATGTCGACACTTTTGAACGCCTTTTACTCACGAACGTATTTTTTCGAAGAGGATCAATTGGGTGGGAGTGAGGTGCCATCAAATACACACACTTGTATTGTCGTTTTTCCTCCCGTCCTAGCGTAAAGGTCGTTACAAAACAATCGACATCTTTTTGCTCCACCTGCAAAAACCTTTTCATTGGCTCGACCCCAACCTTCAATTGGGCAGATTTGAGGTGCCATAACTCTATCCATGCCATAACAGCGAATGAAAATTGTCGTTTCTCGCACTCATCACATGTATAAATGAATCGAAACAGTAGGTCTCTTTCCTCTAGCTCCACCTGCTGTGAACGAAGCGCATTCCCCCCGACGATGTTTCGATTGGATGAAGATGAGGTGCCATCATAAGACCAGCAGTTCGCACTTGTCGTTTATCCCTATCCTAGCGTGTAAACTCATGCAAACAATAGACGTCTTTTCGCTGCCACTCATTCCGGGTAGAAGATTTTCCATTGGATAGGTCCGGAGGTGCCATAATTCGAATCTCGCTTACAACTGTCCGTTCTTTCGCTCATCACGTGTTTTCTCCGACGACAATGGACCTCCTTCCCTTGAGAAAGAAACTCGCTCATTCATGAGCTCGAGCTGTCATAAACTTGCAGCGAGATTCTATCTCGACATAAACATTGTCGTTTCTTCACCTCTTAGTCCTCTTGGTCCGTTATTTGCTGTTCAACGACTTCCAAACTCCCCGATGCAGCTCTCTTGCACTTCCTCTCTTCTCTTCTCTTCTCTTCTCCTTCAACACTTTCAACACTTTCAACAACTTCAAGACACAAGATCTGCTTTTTGCTCGCTACTGTCCAGCAGTCATAGAGGACTCTGTGGACTCCAAATCGACGTCTATTGATGAAGGGAAAGAACACTTCAACCTTTGCCCGACATGAACAGAACTGCGGGTGCTAACAGCACGTTCGTGTCATGTGATTTGTTGACAAATCCCCTCTTGCTTGCTACCAGACCACGAAGATGCACAAGATCTTTGTTCATAGTTCAATAATAAAGGCGACGTTGTCAAAATAGTAGACCAGCATCAATTAATTAGTGAGACACCCACGGTGCAGAAGCCAATAATAACATTGGAATTAGGCTGTACTGCACCTGAGATGGGCCAAATAAAATTAAAAAACGAGGACAAGTTGGGCGTTTTCAAATTAAATCCCCTCCGACTTGTGGAAGTACCAACGTAGTGAAGCATATCTATTCATTTATAAAAGAAAAGGTAGAGTGAAAGTTCTCTCCATAGACTAAGGGTCTCTTATTGCGAGGCAAACTCAAGTACACAAGAGTCGAGTTGTCCCACTCGCCGCTCAAAAACCCACCACTGTCCCCTCTTGTGAAAAGAATGATGAACACTGCACCCACTAGGCCTTGAACACCGAAGAAAACTTTCCCTGTTATTCCCTCTTGCCCTTCTTCCCTTCTGCTGTAGTACACTTCGAGAAGGATTTGCTAAGCGCCTAACGCATATATAAAGCTTTAGTAAAAGATCCTAGATGAACAAAGTGTTCCAAGTGTAGTGTGTAACCATGGAAACGAGCTGGCTCTCCAGGAAGACAGCACAGCTTCAGCTACATTCAACCATGCGAGGATCTTCTCAACTTCAACGCGTACCAGGGCACCGCCGGAGGACATTTCCTTTGATATTCCCGAGGAACATGAATGTTTGAAGTTAGAGCTTGCTACATCTAGCTCACTTCACTTTTCAACGAACACTCGTTGTTGAACACACATTAGATTAGTATTTCATTGTTGTAAAAAAATCAACATTGATTTAGTGAAAGTTTTCCGGTTCCTTTTCTGTAAATGTGACTGCAAGTATAAACGAAATTAAGCCACGGATATATTTCAGTTTTGTTATTAGTGCTTTGCCATTGATATCAATGCTTCGTACAAATTAACAAACAAGGATAGTAAATACTAGAATTTATGCCAAGCTCCATAATCATAAATCTTCAATGCTGTATTGTATATAGAACGAGATATTTCGAGACACCTCTCTGTTGTATTGTAGTATTGGAAGAGTTTTTTTCTGGGCAAATTGACTAGTAAGAATGAAAGAACAGTAGTATCCCAAGTTGCTCGGAACCTAAAATACAACCAATGTTGCTAGTTTACAATACGAAAACAACTTCTACGATAGCTTACAAACGACAGATTCGACCTACTGTACAACCCTTTCTAGACCCACAACATCATAAATTGGTTTGTGTTCATCACCGTTAAGGTATACCTAAACACATTAAGAGCTTTGCAATCGGAAGATTCGAGAAGCAAACTGTATATGACACATTCCTGGAAGTATTACTGAGCTCTCGCAGAAAATCATAAACTAATACTATGGACTTTGAACTGATTCGCAACATCAAGGGAATGGTTTCCAATATCTTTGAAAAGGATTCGCATCTCTCAGATAAAATAAAAAGTTTGCATCATTATATAAAAGCCACCGATATACGACACTCCTTGGTCTACTCCAACGGTGTAGATATTCGTCTCACACACACATTCAGCATAGTGAGCTGGTCGGAAAGCGGTCGTTTGCAAGGAGTGTAAATGAAAGCTCTGTTGGAGATACCTTCAGGTTCCCTAAAGTCTTCGAAACAGCACAAGATACATGTTCACGGGTGTGTTGATAATATCAATCCAGCTTTTCATGTCACGAAGTACATGAAGAATCAAACTCATCTGACGCAAGAATGCAAGTCCCATTTTGATACGTAGTGCTGCGGATAGTGGCAACCCATGACGAGAATCTGAACCATAGCTGTAATTACTCCATAAACATTTTTGACTTCTAATGTTCTTGTCGGTACCTGTATGGTCAAGCACGAAAAATGTTGCGGACCGAGGGATAGCTTATGAAAAACTTCAATGTAGACGTACGAAGTATTTTGCCTCCTTGTTGTCCACCTCTCGCTCGGTTGAATGTTTGAGTCCCATTAATGCGACCCAGTTTCCTGTGATCTGATATTCTTGCCCAGAAATACAAGTGTATGACTATGGTCTTCAACAGTTGATCCTCTGGTGATCTCGTATACTGTTGTGATCACATGATCCTGGACAATTCCAGGAAATATTGTGCAGTTATAGCGACACGTGTTGGACGT